ACCCTGGGGACCGACTGTGCCCTACAGTACCCGGGGCCTGGTGGTGTCACCAAGGCAGAGAGAGCCCGCCCAGCCCCGTCTGTCTTTCCCACTGGAAGCTTGACTTGGTCCTCTTGTGGACTGGAAGGGTGTCCTGACAGAGCCCTGAGGGAGCCCCGCGACCCCCACCGCACCAGCCACGCCCGTCTGCAGGGCTGGGAGCTGGGCAGACAGAGCTGCAGGGCCCACTCCTCCCCTGACCTCAGTTAAGGCCGGTTAAGCGCTCCCTCCTCCAGGAGCACTCAGGCAGCCTGGGCCTGGTCACCCAAGACTTGGAACATGAGGACAGCGGCTCGCCCACGGGGTCTCCAACAGCGCCCACCCCGAGGCTGCTCCCAGCGACAGGGTGTCAGGCCAGCAAATGCCAGCCTCTTCAGGTGGCCACACACAGGGCCGGGGGCCAGGATGGAAACGTGATCTGGAGCGTGGCCTCCGCACCCTTCCTGCACACGGCCCCGAGCTTGCTTCTGACCTACTTGCCGCTCCTCTGGTTCATTCATCCCTGGCCAGTTCCCTGCTGTCACTCAAACGTCTCCTGGGTGTGGCTTCTCTGGCGCTCTGACGGGCCAGTCGTCATACATTAGGATGTGTCCAGATGGCCGCAAGGAATGTCGCAAGACCTCTTGGCTGTGTGGCCTCAGTTGCCGCCCCTCCAGAATGGGCTCACCCTTGGGCTGTGCACCACGGGGCCTGCCGGTGTGCACTGAGGGCGGTGCTGAGCAGTTGGCTCCACTCCCAGTGCCCCCAGGAGCGCGGCGTCCGCTGTCTCATTCGATGATCACAAAACCCCCCGGGGGGGCAGATACTCCCCAACTTGTCACGTGCACATCCTTGGGACCCCGGGACCCCAGGCCCCCCGCTGCTTCTCCAAACACCGCAATCTCTTTTCCGTGTCCTGGGGGGCACTTCCCGCCGTGAATACTGACATTTCTGTTGGTGCATGTGTTTATTATCGGCTTCCTCTACCCGTGTGAGCTTGCACACCTGTCTCACCGCCTGACTCAGCTCCATGCCCCGACTCCCAGGACAGGCTGGGCCCTGCCTGGTGTCTTCTTCCCACGCCAGGAGCGGGCTCTGTCTCAAGGCAGCTCTTGTACCGCTTCTTTCTTGCCTCCCTCGGGGATGGCCGTCTTCTGTTACTTGATGTCCGCTGTTTGGGGCATTGGGTGTGTTTTGGATGTCTCAGGAGGGAGGGCAGGTCTGGCCCCTGTGCCTCCATCCTGGTGGCATCTCTTAGCAGAGAAAGCAGAAGCTGGGATCAACAGAACTGAGCCCGTTGCTCTGTGTGCCAGAGCCGTCCCCTCTACAGGCGCCACAAGTGTTTACTGCAGACCGCCTGGGGACGGCGGGGGCCGCGGCCCCTGAGATGTCTCGGGCCAGCGCCTGCCTTTCTGTCATGTTGCAGAAACCCGGCTGGAGCAGGAGGCGGTGAGAGGGGAGGCAGAGAGCGCCGGCGGCCTCGTTCCTGCCCGGGGCTTGGCATTCTCGCTGCCTGTCTTCCTGTCTGACCACCTGCCTCTCACACATCACCACCCTCACCCCTGAACCACGTTCGCTCCCGTGGACCGACTTCGCCTTGCACATTAGCATATTCGCTTGTCTCATCTCCTGGAGGCTGCCGGCTCCTTGAGCGAGATGACCAGGTCTTCATCAGCTTTGTGCTGAGCCCCGGGGCAGCTGGCGCCAGGCCTTGTGAGAGCACAGCTTGTGTCTAATTCATCTTTGGACTCCCAGCTCCTCGTACACCGCTGGGCACCAGGGATGCTCAGCGTGTCTGTGGTGGACAGATGGACGGACGGACGGATGGACGAGCCCCTTTGGGTTGCCTGCGTCTCATGGCCTGTCTTGGCGCCTGTGAAAAGAGGTACTGGCCACATCCAGGACACAGGAAGGAAATTCAGGACCAAGGCCCCAGCCTTGGCCACTGAGAAAGTCACTTCCTGCTTCTTAGGGTCAGTTTCTGTCCTCTTGTTGAAGTGACACCCCCAAGCCTCCCCCGGCTCCCACATGCTCCAGCTGGCCCAAGCCGGACTAGATAGGGGTGCACCCTCGGAACTCGGTAGCTGGTTTTCTGAGAAAAACCCGGTGTATCTCTTGCCTTGGCTTCACTCTCCTCCCTCGCTTCCCGTCTGTCTGCTGGCCTTCTTGCCCACGGAGTGATCAGTGCCCTGCTGAGCACTGCGGGCGGGGCCCTGGGCAGAACGACAAGGGCGGCTCAGGGCTTTCACTTTCCATTACGTCTGAGAAGGAATCAGCAGAAAATTCTCACTTCATTAACAGAGAAGGAGCGGAGGAGGAGCTGGCACATCCAGGAAGCTGTACCAGCTAGCAGGCGGCTGCCATTTCCCCACCAGGGCCCTCGGTGTGGTCTGTCCAGTGCATTGTCATCAACGGCCACAGCTGCTGGGGTCCCTCCTTGTGGCAACCAAGGACAGCCCGTCAGCCCCTTATCTCCAAGTGAGCTCCTGGAGGGCTTACAGCCCCGGCTGAGGCCACACACTGGCGGGGACCTGCCCAGAGCTGTGACAGCCTGAGGCAGTGCCACAGAAGCCAGAGCTGCCCCCCTGGGCAGTGGAAGTGAAGAGGTGCCCATGGGATGGGGGTGGGGGGGCTTGGGTGACCGGGGTTCCTACTCTGCCCATGCTGGCTGCCGCCGTAGGGAAGCTGGGGGCCCCCATTGGCAGCACTGAGTCTCCCACTTCAGGGACACCCCTGAAGACAAGGACTGGGTTTTGTGTTTTACCGGGAAAGCGCTGAGCGGGTTCCTGCCGGGGAAGACGAGCATCCGGGGGACCCTGACTCCCCTCGTCGGCCAGCTCTCTCCTGCTCTGAATTCTCCGCTCCGTAGCTTCTCTGTGTCTCTGAACACCTGACACCGCCCTGGCTGCAATGCTAATTCTGCCTGGCTCAGAGCCCCTCCCCACGCCCCCTCCCCAGGGACCTTGCCCTCATTAATGGGGTCTGAGCGCCCACCCGTTCCCTGGGAAGAACCGATGGCTTCCTGGATCTCCTAGTCTGGCTGCAACAATCGGGTACCACTTCAGGAGCCACGACCTTCTCCATCTTCTCTCCTTCCTTCTGCACAGTGAGACCGCGGCACAGGCACCCAGTGAGTCAGGCACTCCCGTAGGGCCAGGAATCCCACCCCCAAGGGTTTATCTGGGACAAAGAGGAAAGCACACCTACACCAAGGCGTGTGGGATGTGTTCACAGCGGCTTTGCTCACGGTCGCCCGAACCTGGACACAGCCCGGGTGTGCACCTGCGGGGACCAGACTGGCACCGGATGCCGCTCAGCAGTAAGAAGGAAGGAACCACTGAACCACGCACTGACCTGGGTGAACTCAAAATCACTGTGCTGGCTAAAGGAAGCCAGGAAGCGGAGCGCACACTCGCAATTCCATTTAGGAGACGTCAGGACCCAGCAGTCTGATCCACGGCTTCAGAAATCAGAACAGTGGTTGCCTCTAGGGTGGGTTTTTTTTTTTTTAAGGTTTGCTTTCCTAGTGCTCTCGAACTACTTGTGTCCTTTATTAAATTCGTTTTCCCATTTTTATTTAGTTTCATTTTTATTTGACAGTGAAAGAGAGAGATTGTTCATACCCTGGTTCACTCCCCAAATGGCCAAAGCAGCCTGGGCTGGGCCAAGCCAAAGTCAGGACCTGGAACTCCACCGAGGCCTCCCATGGGGGCGAAGGGGACCCAGGTTCCTTCCCGGGATGTGCGTTCGCAGGCAGCTGGATATGAAGTGCAGCAGCCGGGTCTCTATAATCCGGCACCCTGATGAGGGAGGCAGGAGCCCCAGACGGTGAATGTGACCGCGGTGCCAAACACGCCCCAGGCTGGGGTTGCCGAGAAGAGGCACAGGGAACCCTTCCAGGACTTGGAAACGTTTTGTCACAACAGAGGTGTGGTGTCCACGTTTGTCAAAGCAGATCAGACGGAACAGCAGATGGGTGCACCTCACTGACGTCAGTCAGTCCTTAGAGATTACGATAATAAGGAAGCCATTCACGGTACCCTTTGGGAGGTCATCCCTCAAGGGGCCTGCAACTGAGTGGACAGAGACCAGGGCGTAGTTGGGACCCTTTTGTATATATTCACATCTGAATGACCTGCCCAAAGCCACTGCTGTCTGTCCATCACCGCTGCTTCCTCCCTCCCTCAACTCCCCCCACACACACACACACAAATTCCTTTCACAGTTCTGGGCACGGTGGTGTCCAGGCTGCACTGTGGGAACCTGGGCCTCTTCCTGGGGGGTCACCAGGCTGCATCTACACCTCTGCTTCAGGTACACCCAACACAGCGTGGACCAAGGCAAGGAGGACAAGTTCAACCCCAGGCCCTCCGTGGATTCAGTAACCAAGGGAGGGGCTGGGGGCAGCCAGGGGCAGCCTCATTGTCAGAGACACACTTCTCCAAATTTCGGCCGTGCCCACAACAAGCTGAGATGGCCACGGGTGCCCACCACATGGGCAGCTCCCAAGATGGGAGAGAGCCGCCTCTTGCGAGAAATTAGCTTAAGAGCCGGAGCCCGACCTGCCTCCCCTCCCTCCTCCCTCCTCCCTCCCACAGTGTCCCCTGTGAGCCCTGCTGCCCACCCCCACCTGCGCAGGAACCGGATCTAATGCCTCGACTGAGAGGATGAAATGCTCTGTTATTTTTCATGGGGAATTAGACCTGACCCTGCTGGCCGCTAGCTCATGCCAAGAGAGGATGGATGGCCGGGGCCCGGCGCTTAACCCCTGTTCTGAGCACGCCAGGCCTGGCTGGAGGCTCTAGGGGGAGCAGCCTGGCTGGGGGCCAGCCATGACGTCACCTGCTGCGGGTGGGGGTGGGGACGGCAGGGAAGGTCAGACAGGCTTCAGCCGTGATGGATGGCGGTGTCTGTCACGGCCGACAGTCCCACCTGCACGGCAAGCTCGTCCGGGGACACTCAGGCTGCTCTGTGTCTTTCAGCTCCCAACTCTACCTCGTGCCCGGCCGAGGAGAGCTGGTGGTCGGGGCTGGTGATCGTCATCGCCGTGTGCTGTGCCTCGCTGGTGTTTCTGACCGTGCTGGTCGTCATTTGCTACAAAGCCATCAAAAGGTGAGTGCCCGCCCCCCGCACCAGCTCTGAGCGCTGCCGGGCTCCCCCAGCTGGCCTCGGGGCTCTGCTGCCCCCCTGGGCCGGCAGTGCCTGTAGATTTGGGTAAGGACCGCTGAGCACTTCGGGAGCAGCAAGCAGGCCTGGGGAGCCGCCATCCGCGCTCAGCCCAGGACAGCGGCTCCGAGATGCCGCCGTGTTGGCTGCGTTGATTTCTTCTTTGCTTCCCTTCTCGTCCTCTTTGCTGGACTGGTTCAAAGCTCCTTCCAGACATGAACCCCCATCGTTTTTAGGAGTTTGATTCCACACACATTTGCTGAGCACCAGTTACGTGTCAGGCCCAGCGCAGCACACACACACACACACACAAATTAAAATGTCGCAACCCTCCAAAGGATACCAGGACTTGTTAACAACACAATGTCTCAAGAATTTTTTTTTTTAATTCCCTGGGGTCTGAAGTCAACAGGTCCACATTGAGGACAATCAAGCACTTGGAATATTTAACATTACTCTTTTAATTTCATTTGCATAATTCAAAAGCAGAAAGAGTAAAGTCACAAGTGTGGATCAGGCACAGGGGATGAAGGGCTGTGAAAAGTCAACAGCCCGAGCACGTCCTGAAGCCTGGGAGAGGACGCAGGGCGCCTGGGGTCGGGGCCTGGGGGTGACAGCGCCACCCGGGACCGGCCCCACCCTGAGCCTGTGCTGCCCCGCCCAGAGCCCCCTGTGCTTCCGAGGCTCACACTGCAGACAGTCTCCATAAACAGAGACAAAGGAGCAGGGCACGGCTGTCTAGGGCAGCGCCCGGACTGCCCCGGGCTCAGATCCGCCCGTCTTCCCTGAGCCATCCCTGAGTTGACTCCATTCTGCAGACGAGGAAACTGAGTCCCTAAGGAGTTAGGGAGCTGCCCAGAGTGACACCATCATGGACCAGCAGAGTCTGATCGGAGCCCTGGACGGGGAGATGGCCACGCCAGCCCTGAAGGTGGCCCCGTGTCACCCACGTTGGCTGCTTGCTCGGCAGAGGGTAGACCTGGCCCTTCCCGGCTGCCCAGTCTCGGGGGTGCAGTATGGGGACTGTGGTGAGACGTGACTGTGCCCATCTGAGACCAGCTGACAGGCAGAGAGGCACTGAGTGGGAGTGATTTGTGGGTGCCAGACCCCCTCCCCGGGTAGGGCCCGATCCATCGACGGCAGAGGTGGCGGAGGCTGCGGAGGTCAGTGGCAGCAGGTGGCAGCCCGTCGTGGGCACCCAGAGGGGTCACGGTGAATTCTGCTGTGGATCACACAGTACTTGAGCTGAGAGCTGGGGTCCCGGTGGTGGGGGGTCCCGGACAGCGCAAGGGAAGGATGCCCGACAGCGGCACCTGTGCGGGGCTGTGCGGGCTGGCCCCAGGCTGAGCGGTTGATGGTTGAGGAGGCGCTGGGGCTATTGAAGATGCATGAGGAGGAGGCTGCTCCACCTGGGCGTGGCTGCCAGCCCCAGGCATCAGCATCAGCGGTCCTTACAAAAGTCACCCGGGGCCACCTGTGCCTGCCCCCACTGGAGCTGGGAAGGGCGCTGCTCCAGGGGACAAAGTCTCAGCTCTCACTGGCTGCCGCCCCGCCCCTCAGGGCTTTGAGAGAAGCAGCCTACCGCCCAGGGAGTGGGGGGCAGGCACTTCCAGTGCGGGCAGGGCTCCTTTCTGGGGTGGGGGGCATGGGCGGGGCTCCCCCCCACACCCGGAGATGTGGCCCACTGAAGGGCTCAGCACCCCTAGCACAGGAGGCCAGGCAGGGGGAAGAAAGGCACAGTGGGGAGCTGGTGAGAGGGGCTGCACCAGGAGCTGTGGTTGTCAGCTGTACAGTGGTTGCAGGTGCAGCCCGGGACAGGAGGGTGGGGAGGAAATGCCCGACCCCTGGGCCAAACCAGAGACTGGGGGAGCAGGGAGGGAGCCAGCAGTGCAGAGAGGAACAGGCCCAGACCGCAGGAGTGCCCCCGGGGACCGGTGGAGGCAGACACAGCCCTGCCTGGCCCTGCAGCTCTCCCCAGAATAAGTCCAAGCTTTCTCGCTCACGGCCGATGCCATTTGGTCAGCAGTCCTTCGGAAACATGCCTTTTCTCTCCGAAACAAAAGCAGCCCACAGCACTGCAAAACCATCCGGAGGGAAATCCAGTGAAAAACCCCGCTTTTAAAACAGAGCCTCTTACAGTCTCCAGGCTTCCGGGAGGACTTTCCCGGGGTCTCTGAATGTCCCCAACACCACCCTGCCCCGGTCACACCAGCAGCCCTGCCGCTAGTGAGGGCACTCCGTGTTGTGTGTCCCTGGCAGAGGAATTGGGCCAAGGGAGGTTTCTTGAGAGAGGGCAGGTGACCAAGGTGCACCTCACTTCCTGGCTGCCTGTCCCCTCCACCCTCTGCACTGCTGTCTGGTGTCCCCGTCAGGCCTCAGCATAAGGTCCCCTCCAGCCCTGGGGCCTCAGGGTGGCAGGTGCCAGACCCCCACTGAGATGGCTGCTGTCTGTGCTGCCCCTGCCCACAGACCCTCCCTCAGGGGTCTCCGCCCCCCCAGCAGCTCAGGAGCATAAGGGGCAGACCCCAAGACTGAGCCAGTTTGGACAAGTCCCTGTCTGGGCCCTGTGCTTAACCCTCAGACCTTCCTCCAACAACCCAGACAGAACACACACGGCGCGGCTGCCGGGCCCTGTGCCTCTGCTGCAGTGGGTGGCGGGGGCCAGGTGTTGTCTCCTGCACGAGAAGGAATTCAAGGACCAGACGCAGGTAAAGGTCAGCAGGGAAGCAGGTTTATCTGTTCACCCTGGAAGGAGGGCGGCCATGCCCTGGAGAGAGCTGCACTGTCCGAGGCTCAGGGCTGTCCGTTTATATCATCTGGGGACACGGAGGGTTGAGTATGCAGTGGGGTTTGGTTGAATATTCATAAGGGGTGAGCTCAAGTACTACTACCCATCCCTTACTCTATTTTGGAGGTCTCAGAAGTGTCATGGCGTCAGGTGCATGATGGGAGTAGGAGTGTCAGCCATGGTAATTTTATTATAATGACATGATAATGAGCTTGGGAGGCTGGTGGCAGCCTGGTTGGGCATTTTCGGCCAGTGCTGGTTCTGAGTACCAGTTTCCTGGAAGCTGCGGTTGTCTGCTGCCTGGGAAGGGGGCGATTTGGGCAGTGCGGGTGGGGGCTGCAGCCCAGGCAGGGGGGGCCAGTGGCCGCAGCTTCTCCTCGCTGGTGACCTGTGTCACCTCCGAGCTCGCAGCTCCCAAGGAGGTTGCTGGGAGCTGCCAGGGAGGAAGTTGGAGACGCAGGCACAGGTGGTGACTGAACAAGGAGACCAGGGCCCTGGGCACAGCGCGTGGCCACGTGCCTGACCACTGCCACCTGGTCCTGGAGGGAGAGGGCTGGGGGCCGGAAATTGGGCCACGGCTTCTCACAGTGGCACCGTCAGTGGTCAGAAAGTTTTTCTCTGGCTCCTCACCAAGTCTGGAGAAGGCTGCAGTCTAAAGGGGACCCTCACTGTGAAACTGTGTGTGTGGGCTCATGTGCGTGTGTGGGGGTTCATGTGCATATGTGTGGGTTTATGTGCGTGTGTGTGGGTGTGTGTGGGCTCCCATGCGTGTGTGTGTGGGTTCATATGCTTGTGTGTACATGTGTGTGGGCTCACGTGTGTGTGTGGGGGTTCATGTGCGTGTGTGTGGGTTCATGTGTGTGTGTGTGGGTGTGTGTGGGCTCACATGCATATGTGTGTGTGTGTGGGTTCATGTGCATGTGTGTGAGTGTGTGTGGGTTCATGTGCGTGTGTGGGTGTAGGGGGTTACATGCGTGTGTGTGAGTGTGGGTTCATGTGTGTGTGTGTGGGCTCACATGCATGTGTGTGGGTGTGTGTGGGTTCATATGCTTGTGTGTACGTGTGTGTGGGCTCACGTGTGTGGGTGTGGGTGTGTGGGTGTGGGTTCATGTGTGTGTGTGGGTGTGTGTGGGCTCACATGCATGTGTGTGGGTTCACATGTGTGTGGGGGTTCACACGCATGTGGGGGGTTCACATACGTGTGTGCAGGTGTGTAAATGTGTAGTCGTGTGGTATGTAATGACATTTCAATGACAGGCCGCGTACTCGGCATGTGAGAGGGTTTCACCTGGTGATGCTGTACTCTGTGACATTTGCACAACGATGGGCTCACCCGATGGCACCTTCCTTAGGTGTGCCGACCTCATGCAGTGAAGCGTGGCTGTGTATAGGGAGGTCTGGGGGTGAGGTGTGCGTGTGTGTGTGCGCTGTGTATTTGCACATGAGTTGTGTGTATGGGTTAAGTGATGTATAGGGGTGTATATGCTTATGTATTGGGCGTGTGTGTGTGTGTGTGTTATGTATTTGAACTTGTCTTGTGTGTTTGGGTTAAGTGATGTATAGGGGTGTATATGCATGTGTGTTGGGCGTGTGCATGTTTGTGCATGTGTGTGTGTGCGTTATGTATTTGCACATGTGTTGTTTGGGTTAAGTGTTATATAGGGGTGTATATGCGTGCGTGTGTGTGTGTGTGTGTGTGTGTGTCTGGGGTGTGGGTGCATCAGGGCTGGCAGTGAGGAGGACGAATGCCGTTGGTTGAGAAGAGTCGGGGCCTTTGGCTGTCCCGTGGCTGACGGCAGCCCTCCCCCCCAGCACGTGGGGCAGCCGGGCGGCTGGCAGCCCTCCCTCCTCTGGCTCCTCAGGCGGTTCTCCGCCCGTGGCTCCGCCAGCAGAGCCGCAGCTGAGGACGTAAGCTGTCACGTCACTGGCAGCCAGGCCCAGAGGGGTGCCCCAGCCTTGGCCCTGCCTGTCCAGCCAGCAATGCCGGTTTAGGCTCGGTCCCTGCACTAGCAGAGAAAGAACCTGCTGCTTGCCTCGCCCACCCGCCCGCGGGTGGGAGTCCTGGGAGGGGCCGCGTTCCTGCAGATGAGAATCCTGGGCACAGCCATGGAGAGGCTCACCTACCTTTCTCTTGGTTTTAGGAACCAGGCCATTTAGGCGCCCTCGGTGGCCACGAGGGCCGGGACTGGGGTGGAAGGGCTCTCCGTGGCTTCACGGGACCACAGCCACGGAGCCAGGCTGGGGCCCGCAGCACTACCGTTTCTGAAGCTCACAGGCACGTGTTAGGTAGGAATTCTAACACGGCAGAGCCTGGCTGCCAGGGTAGTGGAGCAGCTCCCACGGACCCCTCGGCAGCAGCAGCGCTGAGAGCTGCCAGCACTTACTGGGTGCTTACTGTATGCCCGACACTCGACTAAGCGCTTGACCCATATTAACATGTCTAATCCCCCCAGCAAGCTTATGGAATGGACACTGGTATTGTGCCCATTTTATAGGCAAGGAAACTGAGGCATAGAAACGTTATGTGGCTTGCCCAAGGTTTCATAGCCAGAAAGTGGCAGAGGCCACTTTAGCTGAGCTGTGACACCTGCCTCCTAGCTCGGGGCAGGGTCTCCCTGAAGGCAGTGCCTGTGCAGGGATGCGGGTGGGTGTGCAGGGGGAGGCACCTCCCGCTCTCAGCACTATCTGAGCTTGGTGCAGCCCAGGGAGGCTTTGGGAGGGGGTGAGCTGCTGTGCAGGGAGCAGAGTGGTTGGGGACCCAGCTGTGCTGGGGGAGGGGAGCACTCCCTGTCCTCATCTCGGGGAGCCCTTGGGACAGGGCACATTGCACACAGCCCAAGGCACCTTTGCTGGGAGGAGCCCTGCCTGGACCCCCGCTGGCTCTCGGGTCCAGAAGCTGGAGCAGCCTAGGAGGCACCAGGACCACTGGCTTCCACACTTCGGAGCCACCCCTTCCAGTAGGCCTCCCCAGGAGTCCCCCGGAGGGGTCTGACAGCAGCCTAGCTTTTAGGACCTTCCTTCTTTTGCAAAGCAAATCCTGCTGTCTTCTCCCTCCCTCTTTCCCCTCAAAAGAGCAGAAATGTTGGTCCTCCAGGATTTGCCCCTCTAGAGGGGAGCTCGTGCCCCCTTCGGTTCCTCTCTGCCCTCTCCTGCACCTGCTGACCCCGCCCCACCTGCACCTGCTGTGGTGGGTTTTCCAGACTACACCCAAGGTTGAATGTTGACCCCGCAGGAGTGCCGCGTGGGCTTGGGCCCTGAGTGTTTAGCTGTTGAGAGTCTCTGGTGTCCTGGTGCTGATGTCCGTTCTGCCCCTGGATATTGATGGTAAAAGCAGGAATCCCACCCGAGTCCCTCGGTCTCGTGGTGGGGCAGCGACAGGACCTCACCGTAAGGAGAAGCCCCCGCCCCAGCCTCCCAGGCTCTGCAGATCCGCGGTCACGCCCACCCAGCAACATCAAGCGGCCTGAGCTCTCTGGGAAGGGGGGTGGGGACAGGCAGGGGGCTGCAGGGGACCGAGGGTGAGGAGGGCTCAGGGGCAGAGAGCTGGGCTGCAGAATCCATCATTTCCCAGCCCGTCTACGGGGCAGCCACCTGGGTGGGATTAGAGAGAATGGGGCGGGCTTCCTGGGGCGGGCGATGCAGGATTTCCAGAGCTTAGCTGTGGGGGTTGGGCCGTGAGCAGTGCTGCTTTGAAGGTAGCAGGTGGGACCAGGACACAGTGGTGGGAGCCCCCCACAAACCAGCCGGGGGTCCTTGGGCAAGTCATAGCCTCCCTAAGCCTCCGCTTCCCTGTGAAAGGAACCTCCTAACCCCAGGCCCAGCTTCCTGGGGGGACCACTGGGACCGTGCCCTGCACCTCTGTCCAGAAGATGTCATGGTGGTGGGCATGGCCACCCCCGTGCGTGCCCTCAGGGTTCCGCTCCCCTCCCCACCCCCCATCCCCCCACTCCCGTTCTGTGTGTCTACGCTTGTGCCGCCAGAGGAAAGAGTTAACAGACCCTCGGCAGGCCTGGTGGTCCCAACCGTGAAACTGCTGATCCTTCCCCCGCCCTCCCCAACTAACGCAGACAAGGCTTTCTCCCACGCGCCGCACACGTGCCGTCAAGGAGGACTGGAAATGCCCATGGCCCGTGGGCAGCGGGCGCCCCCCAGGGACAGCAGTGTGGGGCGTGGCATTGGGGGGCACAGAGTGCTCAGGCAGACCAGGGCGCCGCAGCCCCTCGCCCAGGGCCCGGGTAGGCCTTGGATCTGACCTGGCCCGGAAGTAACTCTGTGGTTGCAGGCCCTCCCAGCCTCATCACCCTCTGTGCACCGCAGGGAGGGCTCTTGGGGTGACGTGGCCTCTGGGGTGAGCTTCAAATGGCCAAGGCGAAGTGTCCCAGAACTACTGGGTGTGCTCACCTTGGGGGCCCTCACCACCACCGTCAGCCTCCGTCACTGCCGCCATCCACCCAACCATCACCACCACCATCACCACCCCATCACTGCCCAACCATCACCATCACCGTCACCTCTACCCCATCACCGCCCAACCATCACCACCACCGTCACCACCCAACCATCACCACCGCTGTCGACCATGCCTTGTCCACTGCCGTCACTGTCATTAACACCACCACCGGCACTGCCACCGTGCCCTGTCCCATCACCATGACACCACTGCCGCCACCGTGCCCACCTTCCCCACTGTCGGCATCGCCATGGACACCAGTCCCTCTACCACGGTGCCAGCGTGATCGCCCTCCCTCGCCTTCATCGCGTTTTCCGTCCGTCTTTGACCACACAAAGGCGAGGCCAGAAAACGCCCCCACTAGTGCCCCACTTCCCTTCACCACATACACCCCCACATAGTCCGCTCCCTGCCTGCCTGCCCACCTCAAGGGGCTCACTTAGAGCCGGATCTTAGGAGGCTGACCGGACACTGGTGCACGCAGACCAGTCGCAGGTCACGGCTGCTGCCCGTGGTTCTGTTCCCGTGTCCCTCTGCCACAGTCCCCTGTGTCCTGGTTCTCCTGGAGATTGCGTGGCCATCCTGGACAAGGTCACCCCAGCCTCTGACTGACCCCCAAGGACCAGCAAGAGCTCCAAGGCCGCTCACCCTGGGCACGCCTGGTGGGCTTCCTTCTGGGGCTCTTGCTCTGGCGGGGTGTGGAAGCCAGCCCGGAGGCCACCCCCCTGGCCAGCCCCGGAACTAACGGTGTCCCTGCTCCCTCCCCCTCGCCCTGCCTGCTCCTGGGCGCCTTCCAGGAAACCACTGAGAAAAGACGAGAATGGCACCAGCGCTGCGGAGTACCCCATGAGCTCACAGAGCAGCAAAGGGGTGGACGTGAACAACGCCGTGGTCTGAGTCTGCGGCTGCGGCACCGCTGGCCGGAGGGGCGGCGTGGTGGCACCAGCGGACACGGGAAAGCAGGTGGACTTGAGCTGACCCTGGGCTTGTCCAGGACTTCGTGGAGGAACCGTCTTCCCAGGCTCGCCCTGGTCGCCTGTGGGCAGGGGCGGCGCCCACACCAGGCTGAGCCCAGTTCCCCTGCATGCCCCATGCCCCACCTTGTCCACGTCTGATCCTACGCCTGTCCTCGCAGCTGCTGTCTGAAGCCTGGCTCTGGTGAAGGCAGGAAGCCCCTCTGCCTGCTGAAGCCGAGGCACCCCGGGCAGCCAACAGGAAGCCCGCCCGGGGCTCCCTCCCCTGCCTGGAAGCCTGTCCTCCTCCAAGAAGCCCACCTGCTTCCCAGTCGGTGTTCCCAACAAAAGCCATTGGCACAGCCACGAGACAGACACCCCCTTCAAAGGTGCTCCCCACACATCTGCCGTCACCCACCCCATCCGCTGCAGGGCCCGCCTCCTCCTCTCTTCCCTACCCATGCCCCGGCGGGCCCTTGGCTCCAGAGCCTGCAAACCGCCCCCCTCCCACCCCAGCAGACCAAGGGACTCTGTTCACCGAACCCTGGCCAAGGGTGGCCCTGGAGGGGCAGAGCCCGAGGCCCCCTGCCTGCCCTGCCCATTTCCACCCTGACCCCGGAGGAAGCTGTACATCCACACGAGCCAGGCCCTGGAGGCCACCACCTGTGCCAAATCCACCGGGACCCTCGGTGCCAGCCCCACCGGCCCCGCACTTCCTCCCCACCACGCTTCCTAAGGCCTGGCTGTGGTCCTCAGCCCCTCTCCCCAGAGGGAGGTGGGGCGCTTCCCCTTGGACGAGAAAGTGTCTCTCAGGAGTGGGGGGAGGAAGGGAGGGCCTGAGCCCCTGTTCCCAGCGGGCAGGCCCGGCCCTGGGGTTTTGTGGGCCCTGCCCTGGGACTGCCCTCACCACCCCACACCCTTGATGGGGAGGAACCGGACACGCTGAATCATGGTGCTTGGTGCGCTGTGGGGGCTCCGCCAGGTGGGCCCGGGGTTGGGGGGAGGGGCTCCTGGGGCAGGGGTGGGGCTGCAGGTGAGACTCCAATCCTGGTGAAACAGAGGCTGGAAAAGCACCCCACCGGGCTGAGTCTCCAGACGCCGACACTGCTGGGTCCTAGTGCCCAGAGCTGTCCGTGTGCGCTCCCTGCGGCCAGGCCAGGCCAGCGTGCGTCCTCCTGTGAAGGGGCTTGTCTCCTCGTCGCTCTTCTGCTGTCTGAGGACTTCTCTGAGGCTTGAACCTGAGTTCCTCTCCCAGCCCACCTCAGCGTTGCCCCCCCCCCCGACAGCCCTGGGGGGGGGCGCTCTGCCCCGCCCTCCCCCCCACTCTGGGGGGTTGTGCTGTCAGATGCAGCACCAAGGAACACACAAGCCAGGGGCTGTGGGCTGGGCGGGGCGGGGGTGCGGTGCCCCACCCCCAGGGCACCCCCACACCCATGTCCTCAGCCCCCTGGTGCCTGTGAGCCCCCCTGCCTATGCCCTAAGCAGATACCTGGGCAGGACCCCGCCCCTAATCACACTCCCACCCTGGGCTTCTCCCGCTGCCTGGGGCTGGCCAGAGTTCAGGGGTCCTCTAAGGGACCCCAGTTGGGAGGGGCAGCCCCAGGGGGACTGGGGCCCACACATTCCCCTGCCCACCCCAGCCCCCAATACTTCCATCCCTGGCTGCACCTTGGGGCCCAGACTCTGCAACGGGCCTCAGCCTCCAGACCAGGTGGAAAACCCCAGCCGTGCCATCCACCAAGCTTTGGGGCTGCACCCTGTTCCCGAGCCACGGACACTCCAACTGACACGGAAGCTCTCCCTGTGGGCTTGGAAAACCCCTACTCACCCATAGGAAACCCACTGGAGAGCACCCCACCCCCACCCCGCCAGCCCCAGGGCAGCCACGGAAGCTCAGCTCAGGCCCAGGGCGAGAGGCCCAGCAGACTCTCAGCTTCCAGAACCCACGCACACACAAAACCACGAGGACCTAGAATGTGAGCTTAGGACTTGGAAACGAACCCCAGCCCCTAAACACGGATCCATGCTCTGATCAGCTCAAGGTCAAGAATGAAAGGCACGTCCCTTCTCTGCGTTTTCTCCCTGCCGTCTCAGAGTTGACCTTGGCTTTGGAACTCAGTGGCGTATGGGGTGCCCAGGGTGTTCAGGTGTTCCTGGGAAGCGTGTAAGAGAAGTTTTGGAAGACTGATAGGTGTAAAAATATAGACGTATATTATATATAGTTATATATATTTAAAGAGATCTCTATATCTATAGAATTATTGTGCGCTCTGCATCTGTACTAAGTGTGGCTTACACAGCCCGGGTAGGGCGAGGCCCGGAATGCATGGGCGTAAGCACCCCGAGACCTTGTGCACGGGACGGGACAGGAGCCACGGGTCGATGCCGTCTCGACGCCGTCTGGTTGGCCGGCGCATCATTCATGTCGGTTTCGTGCACACGCAGGGCCGGCAGTGGGGAATGTGCCGTTGCTCCTGCTTACACAGAAGAAAGCACCGTGACTTTTTTATTTTCAATAAAAATATCCTTATAAGATGGCCACCGGTTGTCGTTTGTGGTGGGTGTTTGGCCCTGGGCATGGGGTGGACTGGAGAGGATAGGCCAGGGTGGGGGCGGGGTCCTTCACTGAGGTTCTGCCTCAAATCCAGGGCGGGGCTGGACACCTCGTGTGCATTTTTTTGTAAAAGATGTATTTGTTTATTTGAAAGAGTTATAGAGAAAAAGATTGGGAGAGAGAAAGGTCTTCCATCCGCTGGTTCACTCTCCAGATGGCTACAATGGCCAGGGCTGGGCCATCTTCCACTGCTTTCCCAGGCACATTAGCAGGGAGCTGGACTGGAAGTGGAGCAGCTGGGACTTGAACTGGTGCCCATATGAGATGCCGGTGTTGTGGGTGGTGGCTGTGCCTCCCTATGTCACAATGCCAGCCGGCCCTGATGTGCTGTGTGCACTCTCTGTGTTGTTACCCTAACACCTCCAGGGCAGTGTTCATAGGGGTTCAAAGGCCAATCACGCCCCTCTACCCACCTCCTCAATCCTGGGCTTCCCTGAGGGGCGAGCAGCTGAATGAGACTCAGAACCCAGGACTTTCGGGGCTAGAACCAGAAAGGTTCAGGCACACGAGACCTTAAGTTGCACCCTAATTTGACAAGTGCTCATGAGAATCGTGAGAACAGGAATTGGCCGTCCACGCTGGAGGGGAAGCTAGGTAGGCCTGTGGCCAGCATCACCGCCTGCCAGCGCCTCCATCCTGGTGTGGACCTCTGCGGTGGTACCCACTCACCCACCAGGTGCCTGAGGTCGTGGCCTACCTTACACCCCCAGCAGGGGGCCCCAGAGAGCACAGGCCTGTCCTGCCTGACCATTCTCTCCCAGCCCCATGGGCAGACAGGTGAGCAGCCGTCCTTCCCGGGGCTTCAGGAAGGGGCACCTGTCTGATGGGCCGAGAGGGACCCAGGAGGAAAGCTCTTGCCTCTGCGGTGCTGTGTCCTCACCTTGCACGTGTGGGGACGGTCAGAGGCAGAGCAGGCCAGCCAAGGTCACACAGACACCAGGATACAGGGGCGGGGCTGGGGTCGGACCCAGAGCTGGGTGCCTTCAGCACCAGGCTGCTGGGCATGCGGGGGTGACCCCAACCCAGACGGTTTCCCTGTGGCTGGGACACAGCCGCGGAGGAGCTCAACAAGGGGCCACCGAGGGGACCTTCAGTGCCCAGGGCTGGGAGGTGGGTGTCTCCCCCAGCCTGGTCACAGCCCGGGGCCCTGGGGAAGGGCCTGCGTCACACCCAGACGTCCGCAGAAACTCCCCCTGAGAGCCTGGAAACACCCACCGCCACCTGGGACCCGTGGGCTGCCGCCTGCTGGGACGGCCCTTTGCGTGCCTACAGGAGGCACACAACAGAAGGCAGATGTCACGACCTGGATCGCCAGGGTTGTCAATAAAAGCAGACTGTACCTCCAGACCGGAGCAGGGGCTCCTCAGCCCGTGGCCACCTCCGAAGGCTCACCTTGTGCAGGTGCAGGGGTGGGGCCAGCCTGGGAGTGAGGGGCAGCGGAGCCGGCTGGCGCCACCTGCACAGGCTGCAGGTGCAGATCCCTCTGAGCCGCCAGCTCCATCAGTCCCCCTCCTGTCTCCGGAGCCGTCGGCCGCTGGTTTAGCTACAGCCACCAGCATGACAACCTGCTCTCAGACTGCCCCCACCCGACAGCCCCCTGCCCTGCTCGGGGGTCCCGCTGCCGCCGGCCAGGCAGGAGACACGATGGCATGCACTGGGCAGCCCTGCCTGGCCCCTGAGGGGTGCAGCAACGTGGAAGTTGGGCCCTGGAGGCTGAGGGCACTGTGGTGCCGGATCCCAGGTGCTCACTAAGGCCTCACCTTTGGGCACATTCACTCCGCCCCACCTGACTAGTGACCCCCACCCCCTGTTGGTGCACCCGATCCCCCCCCCTTCGCCCAGGCCTTTCTGCTGCCCTCCCTGTTCCAGAACGCACGCTGAGAAATCGTCTGGCAACCCCCCTGCCCTGCACCTGACGCCCACCGCCCTCCCCCGGACAGGGTGCCCCATCTGCCCTTTGTGTGGGGAGAACCCACTGCAGACCCCACCTCCCCACTCCTCTCCCACCCTGTGCTGGAGGAGCGGCAGCCCCCACCCCGCCTCCTCCTCCACGTCCCCCTGCCCCAGCGTTCCGGAGCAAGTGTCCTGGGCTCCTCACCTCGGCCCCACATCATGTGTTCACACATGCGTGTGGTCATTCTTCCCCTGCATATGAACAGAGACTCTGCCAACTGCCGGGTGCCACCCTCAGCTCCGGAGGGCAACTTTCCCCACCCACAGTCCCCACTGGAACCCTCAGGGGTCCCCAGCCCCTGGACCATGGTGGGACCCGCCTTGGCCCTCCAGCCTGGCCTCCAGCCCCACGTCTGCCTGCTCACGCTCCCTGCACTGTCCACGCCGTGTCTAGTCCCGACCTCCAGCTGCCCTCCCGCCCTGCACACCCCCTGCTCCCCAGCTCAGCAGTACACGGCTGGCCGCAGGCCTCCTGGCTGGCCCCACCCCCGCGCGGGGCTTGCTGTCCCGGCCCAGCCGGCCTCTCTCCGCCTTCTGCATGGTCACATCTTCTTGCTCTCCAGGTCCGTCTCTGAGGTCGCCTCCACCCTGAACCCACGTGAGCACAAACCCACACGGGCACAGAGCCTGCACCGGGCGGCGTCTAGGGCCCTGCTGGCACAACTCCCAAGTTCCGCCCTCTGCTGTCTGAACCTGTTGGCCCCTCGACAGCCCTGGCCCACTCACACTCTAGACAGGACGCACGGTGTATCCTGGGGATCCAGAGAGGACCAGAATGGCCTTGCTTTCCAGGAGCCAGGGGGTGGTGGCAGTGGCCCCGTGACGTGCACAGAGGAGACACCAGCGTGGAGATGAAGGGGCGGTCAGTGCCAGCTTCCCAGGGCTCCTAAACCCTGCCTTTCAGCAGGGAGGCACAGACATCACCCCACTTTACAGATCAGAAAACTGAGGTTCGGAGGTCAGGGGTCACAAGAGCAGCAGGTGGCAGAGGTCTTCAGGCCTGGCTCTCTGTGAGCACAACGCTGACAGCACCTCAGGTTCCACTCCGGCCGGCCCAGCTGGGTTTGCGCCCAGCCGTTTTCTCACCACTGGGGAAGCAAACACAGCGCACAGCCCTCCTAGCGGCTGGGAGCTGGCGGTGCGGTGCACAGTCTAACCAGGACCACTTAGCATGGGGCCGCCGGCTAGGCTCTTCCCTGGCACAGCCTCAGTGCTCTCAGCTGTAAAATGGGGGCAGCAAACCCAGCAGGCGCCCCCCGCCCCCTGCCCCGATCGCCACCTCGGAGCTTTCTTTGGCCACCTGCAGGCCCTCTCGACTCTGTCACCTTACTTTCAGCACAACACTTCCCACACCTAAGACCTGGGTGGGTGTTTACCATCTTTCTCTTCAGTGTTTGGTCTTGTTACCAAATCTCTAGCCCTCCATACAACCAGACTTGCCTGGCACAGGAAACCTCTGCTGAATTGAGTTTTAGTGGGCGAGAAATCCAGGCAGAACACACAGGCACAAAGATAAGACTTTAGGGAAAACAAAGCACTTTATTGCACAGAACTGGAACCCCACCTCCCAGGTGCGTGCAGAGGAAGGGGTGGGGGGTGGGAGAACCTGAACTTGAAGCTGCTGAGTAGTTCGCCCGGCTGGTCTCACTGGTCCCTTTGGTATGACTCCGTTTCTTGCCGACAGGTGCTCAGTCTTTGAGGCGTCTTCCCAGGGACCTGTTCCCCTCTGGGAAGCACCTGCCCGGGGCCCTGGGTGGGAGTCCACGGTCTCTGCTGCGGGCCAAGCGTCGGCTTCAGGGTTCCTGCAGGTCCCTGCTCCAGAGGGTTTGGCTGGACTCTCCCTGGTGACCGTGGGCTGCGGCCGGGCTCTTCTGGTTGTTGCGGGTGAGTGGCCGTCGCCCACGCCAGCCAATGCCCGGGCTGGAGCCATCTCGCCATCCCAGCTGAGCACCTGCCCGTCTTCCTGCTTTGGGCAGCAGGCCTGTGGGCCTGTGCGCTCACTCACGCGAGGGCTGATGAGCCTGTCTCCTGGGGGTCCCTGGCGCACCTCCCAAAGGGACGGTGAAACCACGCCCCCTTTGTCTTTTGCCAACAACTCGCTGGGGGTGTAGAAGAAGTGGGCTCTGCCTCCTCCTCCTTCCTGTCTGACCAGCACATTCCCTACACACTAACCTCGTCCTGCCCCAGGCTGTCCGTGGAACTAGACCGGGCCCCGAGGTTTCCTGGAGAAGAATAAAAAGCAGATCTGTTTATTAACTTTTCCCAATGGGAGCCCCTCCCAAACACAAGGCTGCGTTCTGCCCCCGCCCCGGCAGCCCGCCGCTCACAAGCGCCATCTGCAGGAGGAGTTCGGGTCCCTCGTTCCCGCGTGGCGGCGCGGGGGAGCCCTGAGTCACGCAGGAGCCCCGCAGCGTGCGAACACCTGGAGCCAATGCCCACTGCAAGCTGTGATTTCGTTTCAGCAAAACACCAGCTGTCACCCGGCGCGGAGGCCTGGCGCTCACACGGAGCCAGGCACACAGGGAGGCCCAGGGCTCTGGCTCTTACCCGGGACTCCCTGTCTGTGCGAAGCCCCTGACCAACCTCGCCCTGGCGCACTTTACAGGGGAGAGGAATTCTCCACTCCGCTTGGGGGTTGATGAAACCAGGACCGAGCGAGAGGAGGCGAGCTGCCCACAGGCAGAGAGCGGGTTTGGGGAGAATCCGGAAGCCCAGTCCGAACTGACCGCCTGGCCCTCCAGCCTCCTGCCGCCCGAGCCAGCGCCGGAGCGCAGCATGGGGGCCCGGCTTCCACACTGCAGGCTCAAGGCTCCGGGCACACCCTGCTGGCCGCCGAGCCCGCCCCGGCCCCGCACCCCCCACCGGGCAGCGTGATTGTCCTCACCTGGGGAGGGCTCTGTCCTTCACGCTTGATTGCTTGCTGTTCCTTTCTGTTCCAAGTGGCCACTTCAGGGAGCGGAAATCAGGGCC